GCGCCGTCCCCCCGCCAGCCACGCACCCACAGGGCTTCAAGGATGACCGCCACGGCGACGTGGTGGTGGTGCGTCCCATGCGGGAGTACATGGCCAAGGAGATCGCCTTCTACAACCACTTCTTCAATGTCCCCACTGTCATTGCACCGCCGCTCCCCACCAAGGTAGGGGTGTCCCCTTTCCACATGGAGGGGATCCTGAGCTCCACGTCCCCATGGGACACCCTGTTCCATCCCTACCCTCTCCGCTTGCTCCCCCAGCGCCGGGATAAGTCCAGCATCCACCATGTAGTAGAGCGCTTCCTCCTGGGGCTGCAGGAGGATTTCCCCTCCACCATCAGCACCATCTACCGGTACAGCATCCCCGGGGTGGGGGCACCATGGGGTAGTGTGGGGGGCAATGGGGTGCACCTCCTCACCCCTCTGTGTTGTTTGCAGGACGGGTGAGAAGCTGAGCTCAGATCGAGCCAAGGCGACCTGCGAGTCCCAGCGCTGCCTGCTCTGCCTGTGTGCCCTGGACCTCGATGGGGGTGAGTGAGGAGGGCAATGGGGGGGGATCAGGAGGTTGGGGGGCGCTGGGAACCCCCAGATCATACCCTTGGCCTCTGGCTCTTGCAGAGGATGAGCTTGCCCTGGAGCCCACACTGATCATGGACGAGCTGGAGCTGGAGAGGAATGGGTGCTGCGAGGACCCCCCAGCAGCGGGGTGAGCGTGTGGGGCAGGAGGGGATGCTGGGTTGGCACCCGGGCCACTGGCGGGGTTTTTTTTTCACGGGTCTGAGCCAAAATCTGCCTACATCCCACTGCTGTGCTACAGCTGCCGCCTCACCTTCAAGGAGCTGGTAAGGCTTTTGGGGTGCAGTGGGGTGGCCCTCCTTGCGTACAGGGGTGCCCATACTCACAGCTCTTCTCTTCCAGGGTCCTGTCACCATGCTGCCGCCCTATGTGCGTGCTGAGGCCCAGTGCAGGATCCACAGGTAATGGGGATGGGGGGGGATATC